AACAAATGATTTTTGGTGTATGTGGTGGTGTGGCTTATTGACAATAGGCCTATTAAACTCTTTGCAAATTCCAGAAGTAGCACTAATAGTTACCAAGTAAGTTTAGCTTAGTCTAGCACATTACTGTAGTCAGGTTATATAGAGAGACCCTTGAACTTTCTATATTGGCCAATTTGTCTGAGTCAAACTTGCTAGCAATTACACCATGGTAAGTTACTGTTTAAAATTAAAGCATTGCCAATTGTATCTCTTTCTTTACAGCGATATAGATTTGGAGTCAAAAATCAAAGATGTATTTATCTATTCCACATTATTCTAATGAATATCTATCTGTATAATTATTGAAATCACTTGAAAGGTAACAATCAGTTATATATTCATGATAATTGCGAAACAAAAAATGTTCACTAATTCGTATCAACAGTGTCCAAGGAAGGTTGTATTTTTCTGGAACAGAAATTATGTATAAGTAAAAGTTCACTGTTAAATTTTTGATTTCTCTTGCTTAAAGGAGCCAGTGGCCTCATAGATAAAAGTGATGGTTAAGTGTGTCTATATAATTGGCAGTTATGAGTTCAATCTCTGATTCATGTAATGCTAAATGTCATAAGATCTTGTTCACTACAAGAGGCAAACAAGGGACATCACCAGAATAAATTAACTGATATGAAGTATTCTCTAATGTAATGAGAACTATCTACTCTGTGGGTTGAATAAAGTTTGGTTCAAAATTCCCAGCAGGTTATGAACATCAACAGGCAACTAATGAAGTCCAGAGAGTACACTGGTAAATTTAACAACCAATATTAGAACACTGGTTCAAGTAAATCAGTGTATAGTCATGAAATTTGTTCATCAAAGAATTTAGCATAAATGTTAAGGTATTAGATAAGTTTGTGGAAACTTATTGAACATCTTAGCATTTTTAATGGTTCAATGCAAAAGTGAGGTGTTATTATATTATTTATATTTGGTGAAATGTCTTTGTTGTTATTATATTTCAGACGTGTCTTTTAATCTTCTTCAGGTATCTGTGAGTCTGGATAACATGGTGAGTGATAACTGAGTAAGACTAAATAAAAACTAAATGAGGTATCTCTGGACATGGACAGTGCAACTAGAACAATCTATCATTGTAGATTGAATAAAGGGTTTAGTTAAAAATACACTGAAAGTTACCTGGATTAAGTTATCTGAAGAAGGCCAGGCAGCAAAAATGTTGTGATAATAGCAACAAAGATGAGGATATTAGTTTTAATGTAAATAATGCAGAAAGCTAATGTTGCTTTTTGTAATTTATCCTAATTTAACCACTGAAAAAAATTAGGAAGAGACAAAGATTGATGAAAAAATTGAAACATAGCTGCTTTGATTACTTATTTGTTGGGAAAAATCAAAAGAATATTTTTATGTATATTATCATAAAGGACAGGATGTTTTGGAGAGCTGTGATTGCCCGCATCCTGAATGGATATGGTACACTGAAGAGAAAGAATATTATCATGAAAGGCAGAGATATCATCTCATTCACTATATCCATACATCTTTAATATAATGTGATAAGTTTTCTTGCAAGTGATAATGATCAGAGGGTCAAGTTTGAATACCTGTCAGAAAGGTATGAATCCATCTCTTCTCCCTTGACTATGGGTTAAATAGCAGGACAAACTGGGTCCTATAGTCTTGTTTGGCAATCAGTCTACTGCCAAAAGAAATGTCAACTTACTGCAGGAAAATATTATACTTATACTCCACCATGAAAATAAAAAACAAAAACTTCAAGTTCTGGAAGCCCTTTATATAAAAAAATTACGGACACAAATAAATAAAATCAGTTATGAGTATAGCAACAAAGTTTAAGGTTTTAAAATATCTAAATTGTAATTTTTAAAAACTACAATTAAAACAATATTTTAAAACATGTAATTATAATTTTTAAAAAGAATTTACATAAATTAAGTTACCTCACTTACATAATGGTAAAATATTTCTTCAAATTTTACAGCGTTCATGCTCACGCATATTCATAACTTATATTAACATTTTGTCTTAGGAATTTGCCCCTCAAGATGATCTTGGATGAGACTGAAAGTACTTTGGAAAATAAATACCATATGGATAATTATGTCGTTTTTCTAGATCAGTTTTGTACCAACACTGAGAAATTGATCTGTAAACATGATAGGATTAAAATAAAAATATAATGTCTAGATAATTCAACCACATATGCTTGAAATGTTACACACACACACACACACACACACACACACACACACACACACACACATATATATATATATATATATATATATATATATATATATATATTTATATGGGGGAGAAGGCATGACAAAGTAGAAAAAATTTTTGTGCAATGTGTTTTGGTATTTTAATTTTAAAATTTTTGTTCTTGATATATAAAATTTAATGTTTAAGTGTTCTTGATATATAAAAGTATATATTGTTATCTCATTTCTATATATAAGGTTAACTGTTTCCATACATCCTAATAAACCTCACTTCTTACCTCTTATGCAATAAACTCCTTCAGTGACACTCTTCCTTGAGTGGTTCTTGGGCCTTGTATTGGGTGAACATTATTAAAAAGAATTTATATAATAGTCCAATATAGATCAGTGTTTTAAAAATCCACTTTCAAAATATTTAAAATCCCTGCCTTTAAAAAAATCTTTGGCATTACTATCAGCTTAATAAAAAATAAATTATATCTTCAAATGTAGGAAGGTACAGTAAAACAGTTCAACAAATTCATATATATATATATATAATGATAAAATACAGTTTTAAGGTATGCTATATTTATAGGTTAATGTAGCATATGGAAATATAAAAGTGGATTTTGAAGTCAATACCCAGAGTCGACGGTCTGCCTCATGCTAAATGCCATCATGACGCCATGTGCATATATATATATATATATATATATATATAAATATATAATATGTTTCAATTAACAAGACTGACAAGTTTTTTTTCTTCTGTTATTCTTGTATACATACAAGTATTTTCTTTTCTGGACTTAATAAATATAAGAATTGTCCAAAAGTTTGTTCATTCCAAGGACTTTTGGCTAAATTATTAGTCATTTTCAATGATTTTTATATATTGCTTTAATAAATTGTAAGTGCTATTGTAGATAACATAAGAGTTTTATTTGGAAATTAAGAATGTCTACTTTCACCAACTGATATTCTATCATGTGATGCCCACACATATCCAAGCACACATATGTATCTTTATGAAATTTTTAATTCTATCAGTCTATCAATTTTATAAATCTCTAAACTACTTTCAAATATCTGTCTTATTCATCTATATTGAAACTCCCAACAATTTTCTATACCTTTTGCAAGAACATTAATAAAGATAAAATAAAAAATTCTTCAGCTTTTGAGCTATAGTTTAGCAAAAGCAAACATGTTTGGGAAATTCCTCAAAACTTGGCAAATATTTTTATGGAAAATGAAGACAGTTCTGACAATGAGGGTTACAACTGAGATGATGATGATGATGATGATAAATACAGTAGTAATTGAAATTGTCAACAGCCATTATCCCACAAAAATGAGATCTTTTCTTGAGATTTTATGCATAAAAAAATTACCCAAATAAATCAAGTGTGTGCATTTTTCTCCTTTTAGAATACAGAAAAACTGTAAAATGAGTTGTCATGATAACATTTTCTTCATTCTATCTAGAGCAATATTTTATGAATCCAAAATTTGATTCCTGATTTGAAAAGAATGAAATAAAATAAGGTTTTAAAATTGATATTGATGGATTGGCATGTATGTGCACTGGGCTTGAATAATGATTTTAAACAAACCAAAATCTCACAGAATTTCTGTTATTAATGTGGAATCTGAAATTATTGCTTCATATTTTGTAGACTGTCTTAAAAGTGAGAAAATGAAAATAGATTTTAGAGAAATATATTGAAATTATAAGAAAAGAAAAAGTAATTTTTATTGAAGATGTGGAAACAAATTGACCAAAGTGTCTAATTTCAGTGCTGCATGTAATGATTAATAACACTATTCAATGATCCCTGTTGGCACAATAATTATTGCTCAAATATTTCGATTCTGAATTGGACAAAGAAAAAAAATATTCAAAAACAGCTTGGAGAATTGTCATTGAAGAGAATTTCTACATCAAAATATGAAGATTTGAAATGGTTACATTAAGTGGAATTTTATTCCTCTTTTGCCATTCTTTTTAATTTCTTAATATTTCTTGATATTATTTCTTTTGACATTTTTGAAAGTTGATTTAACTTGCATTTTCCTGTTCTTTAAAAACATGCCTCATCAAATTCTCTGTCTAGGGCTGTAACTCTCCTTTTCTCAGAATTTTTCTTCATTTCTTTCCATTTATTTCTCAGAAATTTTCATAGTTTAACCATTTCTCCTTCACACCTCTTCTTTTTCTATTCAGTGATATTTGATTATAAAATTAGAACAGATACCAAAATAGAAAAATGACCAATTTTGCCTAAAATTCTTCATTTAGTCAGAACAGGTATTTTAAATCTTTGGAGTTAAGTTGAAGATGATTTATCTTTAGATTACTTGTTTGAGGTTGTGGATATAAATATTAAAATATCCAGTTAATGTTGATTGTACTTTTATTTTGTCCTGCTGTTTCAAACATAATCCTGTTGGTTATTGTATTGATCTTCTAATAATAATTCAAGAGCATCAAATTCACTCAAAATTTCTTCAAAAATAAACTTTATAATTTTGTCTCTCAGATTAGAAGACAATAACCAGAAAAATTCATGATTTATTTATTTCCTTACCCTTTGATTTTTTTTTCTTTATTTCTTAATTTATTTGATTTGCTTCTGAATTTTTTCTGTCTTTTACTGAAGTATTCTTTTCTCTTTTCTTTCATAAATTTATTATATATATTATATTATATTTTCTTACAAATTATTTCTTTCTCTTTTTCATTTTTTTTCTTTTATACTTTCTTTTATGTATTATCTATTTATTCAAGTTTTTATAATTTTTTTTCCTTTCTTTAATTCTTCTTCTTTCTCTTTCTTTTCTAGTCTCATTTTTATAACTCACAAGAGTTTCACTTAAGGATTTTTTTTCATCGTTTGTCAAATTTTAGTTTTGTGTTATTGTTAGACAATTTTCTTTCTACATGCAGCCTGCTGCTTCTGTTTTCTTTTCTCTCATTCCTTAACTTCCATTCCATCTTTATTATAGATTCACAGTTACCTCCCTTACGCCGACTTTTTTTTTTATTCATATTCAACATTCTCAACCATTCCAGACATAGTCTGTCAACTATACTTTCTTAATTTAAAATGATTCACTTGAACCAAAATACACAAAACATTCAGCAAATAAAAATTGTAAAAACTAAACAATCCCAAATAAAAATATCTATTTTAGATCCTTTTTACATTGTAATTCTATTAACATGAATAGATGCACAAATCTATCTGTCGCTGCTGGGTCATTATCTGTCTGTCTATCTATCTAGCTATCTATCTGTCTATCTCATCCGGTTCATTATCTACCTATCTATCAACAGAAATATGAAATTTCACACAGTGAATGCTGCTGGTAATCAAACAGTGCTCAATGTATAATTACAGATCTAAAATTTATAGTAATTAATAAATACACATTTTATTCCACTTTGTTTGGTACAACTCTGACTTTTATGTATATGATAATCTTCAGACACAGATTTAAAACTGACCATTGTAAAGTTTAAATGTTAATATTTATCATATATTGTTAAGATATTGGAATAGTCCATTTACTTAACATACATACATATATATATATATATATATATATATATGAAGAAAATATCTGGAAAAACAAACAAAAATCCTTAGAATGTGATTATGTTGTTTTAATTATGAATGAAATGTCTCAGTTAATGTTAACATAATCACATTCTAAGGATTTTTTGTTTGTTTTTCCAGATATTTTCTTCATTCTGTCGGATTTATATCCATTTATATTTGCTAATATATATATATATATATATATATATATATATATATATATATATATGTATGATGGACTTTTTCCATCTAATGATCCTTTTTACAGAATGGGATAGTCCTTCATACATAAAATAGGTAGTTACTTTTCAGTCACACTATATATATATATATATATATATATATATATATATATATATATACTGTTTAATAAATAAACAGAGCATCTACTCAAATGTGGGTATCCACTAAAATAGCTTTTAAAATGATAAATTTTCATACATATATATGTATATATTTTTAGTCAGCCTATATATATATATATATATATATATATATATATATATAAATAGACAGAAAATAAGAACCCAGTTTAGCATTATACTTAAATTGTAAATTGAACCCACAAAAACTGGTAAAACATTAATTTCCAGAATAAGTGATGGTCATACTCATACAAATCCCATAAAATATATAAGAAATATATATATAATTTTGTGAAATTATTAATAAAAGTTTCTGATAGGAAAAATATGTTGCATCATTTTTCTTATGGGAAAGGGCCTGTCTGTCTACAAAATTAATATATAAAATCCTGTAAAACTCTGTAGGATTCGAAACCCTGGCTTGCCTCATCCATAGATAATTTAACATGTAATCAGTTTTTTTTTATATTTACTTGTGTTCTCTAAACATTCTTATGTATGTAACTGAAACGATTGCTTTTACTTATTAACAAGGTGAAATTTTTCTTCTATTCTGTGTGGCAAGCTAAATATGTGCCAAGTTTATTGATTTATTCATTTTCTGAAAATGATTTCTTTATATGCCTTTACTTTTCTACTCGAAAAGAAACAAAACAGCTTCTCGGAATTATTTTCCAGTTCAAAAAAGATAACGAGTTGCTGACCTGCTATTGTTAGCCTCATTGTAAATGATGTCTCAAGCTTTTTCTTCAATATTTTATTGTTTCCCATTTTGAACATTGCTTTTCTCTGAAAGAGTTCAATAATGCATGGTAGCTGACCATTCCTACAAGAGTTCTTCAGTTTAAGACTTGTGCAAAATAGGAGAATATTGATTCTGTTGAAGTACCTCTATTTTTTTCCTCTCCACTTATTTCATTCTTACCAAACCCTACTCTAACTTGCATCTTTCTGGCTTATGGCTGCATCACATTGAAACACTAGTTCCTGTAGGATAATATAAGTTAAGCAACATCAAGCCTGGTCAGTACCTATGTGGGTGACAAGTTGGAAATACCAAGTGCTGTAAACTTGGATGCGCAGGTGGTGTAATGGATAATGGCTCAGAAGTATTAATTGGATAGCTGAGTTCTAATTCCAGTTGGAATTAATTATATTCACATGCGTGTAAATACCATTAAGAAAGCTGCGCAGTCACCTCTTCTCCAATTAACTATAGGTTAATTAGTAAGACTTGTAACACTAAATCATAATTATTTCATAAAAAATCTTACAATCTAAATATATTTCCTGGCTTTAAATAACCTGCAAAGGGTTGATGAGCTGTAAAAAAAACGAATCATTTAATCAATCAGTTGAATCCTTGTACCGATGTTTTGTTCTGTTTAAAATTGACACTGATGATTTTTTTCACAGATTTAAGCTAAGAAATATTTAAGTTAAATGTTTCATAAGTTGACATCTTATTCTTACACTTGCCTATTTTGTATGGCAGTTGGTTTCCATGTTCATTCATTTATTATTATGGAGTTAATGAGCATTTTTAATTTAATGGAAGTAACTTAAGACTAATCAGTTCTTATGATTCTCAGCCAAACATCCTTAGGGACTGTTCACCAGCCAAGATATAATTAAAGATTTGCTATATTTTGATTTTACTGATATAAAGTTAGGGAGAATATGATATAGAAATTCCTCTAAACTTAGACCTTCATGCTCACAAAATACACAGAGTCAAAAGGATGGTTTTTATATTGAAAACATGACAAGTGACAGTCCAAGAAATTTCTATATATTAGAATAATGTTGAATAACCGAATAGCAAGACTGAAAAGTTCTGAAGTATTTTGTCCTTTAAAAGGACCTGATTAGATTAAAATAATGTTCTTATTGATGGAATTATATATATTGGGAAAGTCGGAAAAATATGAATGAAAATATCAGTTGTAATTATGCACTGAGTGGAAACACTGAAGATTAAATGATAGCAAATTTTTAAATTTTTAGAATTCCTAGCATCCAACATGTTTAGATTCACAGCTTAGCTGATCTCATTCAGTTTTCCAATGCTTTTATTTTTGTTGCTTTTGCTTTTCAATATACCACACTGTGACAATAGCAGTTTTAAGAAAGGTGAAGTATGCTAAGAACCTAGATGTAAATATAAAGTTATATCAGTGATTATTATACAAGTACACCACTGATTTTGTGGCAACTGATGATCAAGAACTTCTTTAATCTAAATAAAATCATGAGCAAGCAATTGCCAGATTAATTCCCCAGGTAGCATTATATTTAATAATAATTTAAAAATTGTTTCTCCTGTTGATGATATAGACATACTAGAGATGCACAATTAATGGTTCAAAGGTCTGTTATTGAATTGTTTTTACATAACTTCTATTATTCTGGCAAAATGGATAGTGTGGTTCTGGCACCAAGTTTCCAAGAAAATTGGTGTAGTTTCTGTACTTAAATTTTGTCACAAAATCTATCACTGTTTCAGTGTTCATTTTGTCAAGAAAATAGAACCCAAATTAGCTTAAAATGCAACATTGTTTTGTGGGTTATTTTTATTGAAGATATCCATATTCACGATTATCACATTCTAAATATATAAATAAAATATTATCTCATGTCCTTGAGTATACTAGAATGTAATATGGCTTCTCACAGAGTTAGCAAGTAAGTTATCCAAATCATTACTTCTGCTGTGAGTGCATTTCTAATGTCATCCCCACTAAATGGTTGACAAATCTGTTTCACAAGATGTTGAATATTTGTAGCTTGTATCATAATAAGCTAAACTTAGAAAATGTTAATTTTTCCCACCATTAATTTCTTCATTGATTGACAAAAATTTGTTCCCTTACTTAGTTTTTTTTCAAAACCTAATGTTATATCTCACATTCCAGGAATGTGTGATATAAAACAAGTTGAATTTTCTGCACACATTATTACAAGCTCAGTTTGCTAATTTGCAAATAAGGCACTAAACTAATTTTTTGAGCATTTTCATTTATTAACATTCAGATGAGATTTGGATTAGACATAGAATTTAACCTACAATTTTCTCCTGCTGCCTTTTTTTCTATATATTTTGAGAATTTAATGTTCGGCCAGATCAGACCAAAAATGGAGTACTGTTGCCATATTTGGGTGGAAGCTGCCCAGTCCTCACTTTCCAGTTTTGATAGAGTTCAAAAGTATCTCTGAATCCTTGTTGTAGAAGTATTATTTTTCACCCTCCAACCTCTCTCTCACAGGTGTAATTTGGAGAGTCTCTCACTGATCTATCACTACTTCTATGGAAAGTGCTTGGACAAACTACATTCCTTAGTTCCACTAGCTCTAACCTTCATAGCTAGGACCTGCTATACCACCTACATAGTAGCAAACCACCCACATTCCCTCTGTATTCCATCAGTAATAAGTAAGTTCTACTCAAACAGCTTTTTCTCATGAACAGATTCCCAATAATGTGTTTTCCCCAATCACTACAGTCTTAACCCATGCAAGTCTAGAGTTAACTGTTATCTTCCTCTCCTATCCATATAAACTACCCCTGAACATCTCTCTACCTCAAGTGACTCCCAGGCCTTGTACAGGGTGAACCTTGCTGTAAATATAAAAAAAGTTCACATTTTCTTAATTTCAAATAAAAGCTTGGAAATTCTTTTTCATATTTTAGTGAAATTTTCACTGTCAAAAATTATAATTTATAATTTAGATATAAGGGAAAAAAGATGGCATCAGTTGAAAATGACAGTGATATGTATTAAATAGTTGTGCTGATAAGCAATATTCTATAAATATCAGATGAGATAATGAATTTAGATTAACTTCCAATTTGATTTTGGCTTAATATATGGTGGCTAGAGACCCAGTAACAATGGGAATGATTTCTACTCTCTTTACTGAATTGATCATTTTGCTTAAAGTTCAAATTTTCTTAATTTTAGATGGAAGCTTGTAAATTTTCTAACACATTTCAGTGATTTTTCATTTTTCAAAATTATAGTTTATACTTATATTTTAGATATCAGTCAGTCTGTTATATGCCCTGCGTGATGCACACTTAGGCAATCATGTATCTTTTGATACATAACTGACAAGGCAGATTTTTTCCCGCAGTAGGTTGCCATTTCTTTCTGAAGTAGATCAATTGTCATCCAAGGCTATAGAACCCGGCCTGTCCTGCTATTTACCCATAGCTGGGGGAGAAGAAAAGGATTCATACCTTTCCCAAGGGTATTAGCATGTAAGTGAATGTAATGGATTTGAATGGCATTCAAACTCAGCTCTCTGATTCCTCAATCCAAGTTGCTATCCATTACACCACC